TGGGCTGGAATAGCTCGTCGGTTTCGAAGAGTTCGTACAGAAATGTATTCCTTTTGAGACAGACAGTGAAAGACAGTGGTTTTTATTTGATATTCTGCGGAAAGTGAAACTAATCTTAATCGTCTTCGTTTCGGAATAGAAAATTGACCTTTAACTCGAAAACTAGATAAGGGACAGGGAAACATGATTTGGTGCTCAGGGTTCGGGATAGTTTTCTTTTGACTATCATATGGATTTAATGCAAGAGACCTGGATACTGGAACTCAAACAGGACCTATGAGGGTGTGTACGGCTATGTCTACAGGAGATTCGTAGGACTTCAGGTGAATTCAAAGATACGGTTGCAAGAGATTATAATAAGTACTCAAGCAGACTACAAGGATATTCAAAGCTACGGTTGAAAGAAATCTTAAAAAGTACTCAAGAAGACTACGAGGATATTCAGGGATATTGTTGCGGGAGAACTTAATACTTCAACAGACTACAATGATATTCAAGGACGCGGTTGCAAGAGACCTTAATAAGTACTAAACCTGACTACAAGGATATTCAAGAATACGGTTATGAGAGACCTTAATAAGTGCTCAAGCAGACTACAAGGATATTCAAAGCAACGGTTGAAAGAAACCTTAAAAAGTACTCAAGAAGGCTATGAGGATATTCAAGGATATTGTTGCGGGAGATCTTAATTACTTCAACAGACTACAAGGATGTTCAAGGATACGAGAGGTCTCAATAAGTGCTCAAGCAGACTACAAGGATATTCAAAACTACGGTTGCAGGATACCTTAATAAGTACTAAAGCAGAATACAAAGATATTAAAGATGTATTTGTATTTGATTGTACGCTCGTGGCGTCCGGACCCATCATAGATGACATATGCGATCGGTTAAATGCTTACTAAGATGTTCTCACCGCCTTATTCACTGCAGGGAATATGAAGATATCCGTCAATAAATCGACGGTCACACTTTTAACCACATCGACTGCGAAGATGAGGCTATCTTTGAATGTGCAGGTCGATGGTGTTGTAATTCCAACCACCAACTACCCCAAAGTCTTAGGGGTCACATTCGATAGCCTCTTCAAGTCGTCTGCGCATACCACATATATCTGCGATAGGATTACAAGTAGGAACAAGGTTCTCAAGTCTCTGGCAGGCAGCTCTTGGGGAGCTGATAAGGAAACCTTGTTGACCTCTTACAACGCGATAGACCGGTCTGTGGTAAACTATGCGGCTCCGGTATGGTCCTGCCAGAATGTCGCCCTTAGGACCGCAACAGGGTGCCTCCTTATGACACCTGTCGACCACCAACATGAGAAGGCAAAGGTCTTACCGGTGCGACAGCATAATAAAATGCAATGCCTGCTTGGGTGTTACAGGCAGAGCTATCTGAATCACCATATGCCGGAAAAGCAACCTCCGCCCAGGCACGTAAGGAAATACCTTCATTATCTAGAGAGTGAGAGATACAGAAGTATAAGATAGAGCCTCTGAATCAACAGGCCTATCAAGCGGGACTGAATAGAATTCACTCTAACGCGGTCTCAGAAGTTATGGAAGGATATAGAGTGTATACTGTATTAGTAGACCATCCGCCTTCCATCACAGCTGAAGAGCAAGAGCTGCTCCGACAAATCCGAGTAGTTTTGTCTCAATTAAGATCCGGATGGTGCTGCCGCCTTATTTCCTATTGGATCTAGATTGGAATAAGATTATAACTTGGTATTTGAATATCGCACCGCCTCACTGACAGATAGTTGGCTATATTGCCCAACAAAATTTTCCAACGAATTTTTGTACCCTACACCACATTGTGGTGAGGAAGCGAGATAGAACCATAGTTACATTTGAGAATATTCATAGAGTCACTTTCTGAGTCGATTTATATATGTCAGTCCGACCGTCCCTCTGTCTGTCTGTCCATATATTTTTGTGTGCAGGTCACATTTATAATTCGATTGAGATGAAATTTTCCAAGCAATATTCGTTTGGCCCAAGGACAACCCCTATTGAAATTGGTGAAAATCGCTTCAATTTCGGATATAGCTCTCACATATATCTTCAACGGATTTCGGGATAATTGTGCACTAAATGGCTAATATCAGCCCAAATGAACTGAATTTTACCACTTTCGACGGAATTCAGCCCAAAAGCTAGCACTTCAAATTTATATATATATATATATATATATATATATATATATATATATATATATATATATATTTGTCCGATACCAGGTTTATTGTGCACCAAATGGCTAATATCAGCCCAAATGACCTGAATATTGGCAATTCCGACTGAATTCATCCTAGTAACAAATGCTTCAAATTTTGAAAATCAGTTCAGAAATAGCTATAGCTCCCATATATATGTTGTATCCGATTTGGGGTGTTAAGTCCCTCACATGCGTAATATGCACTCCACATCCATGATCTTTGGTATCAGGCCCAGAAATAAATGCCTAAATTTTTGTCAAGATCGGTTCAGATTCAGTTTGAACATAGCTTCTGAGTATATATTTCGCTGTAGAGAAAATTCTATCTCTGTCGTAGAAAAATCTATTGATAGCTGCTCAGAATATTACTTTTTGAAATTATATTTATGTCGAAGAATATTATTTTTATTCAAATCTTTGTAACCGATTACTCTCCAAGGTTTGTACATCCTTTGTGTTTGCATAAAATGTTATTTTCACAGTCTGCTAAATCTTGGCTATGGCAAAGCACACTCCCTTCTTTCGCATCGCATTTTTTCTTTTGCCAATTTTCACCTCTTTGTTTTCTCCTGCTCAAGGATACACGTGGTAGTAATGTACAGTTAGGTATGCAATTTTAATTGTATGCCACTGTCAACTGTCTGTCTGTCTCTCTGTCTAAAAGAGGTGATTTACATCCTTCTGTAGTACTGAACGCTTTGTGCACTGGACTTGGTTGGCTGCTGACTGTCTGCTCTGGCGTCACATATTCTGGAAGTGAGAAGTTGTCATTATTGCCTTGGCTATATAATTAATATCAAGAGACTGAGAATGAAATTGTCGCCACAGATATATGTTTGTGATTACACTGTGGATGTGTGTGTGTGTTGGAGAATGTTTCATATATGTTGTCATGGTGGTAGTTCGCCTTTGAGTATGTTGCATTATTTGTTTCTGCGGAACATGGGAATTAAATTCAAATTAAAATGTTTGTAAGTTCCGTAATTAAGACATAGTTGAACAGAAAATTAAATAGAATAAAGTAGAATTCTCATCAAATGTACCTTAAAAATGTTAGACAATTCGTAAGATCGAACTATACTTCCATGCTATACTATACCAAACACATTATGAATTTTGATTAAGACATGAATATAAAGTGGTTCCACATTTTTAATCCTTTCAAAAAGTTATAACATTACTGAAATCATATTAATGCTTTGATAAACTGAAAGCGGTGCCCAACTTTGAAGATTTTCTTATGGTATGTTAGCTACTTTGGAAAAATATGGCAGGAGAGACAGCTTAAACTTTATTTAAACTTCATAAAAATCGGTCCAGTGGCAGCACAACCATGGAAGCCAAAATCCGATTTGGTTCAAGTATTGTTACTAAACATAGATCAAGGTCGAGGACTTTAATATCAGTAGACTTTCAATAATTAAAAATTAAATCAAACAAGTTAAAAGGTACCAATCGGCTTCCCCGACAGATGTATACCCTCTGCCAATGCTCGATTATTTAAATATAATTTGACTTCTGTTGTGATTATTCAAATTGTTGACCTTCTATGGAGTAGGTTCCGAAGATTAGGCTTAGAATTGCTGGCTTGTCTCGCAAGTTATTGTAGATAAAACCAGTAACGAAAGTCCTAAAGTCGGCCGACTTTATGATACCCTACACCACTTTGCTAATTTTGTAGAGCTCCACATAGCAATTAAAAGATTTTATGGGAGAATTTAATCATACACGCTATGATTATAATTGTAATCTAAAGTTCAAAGGACTAGATATGCTGAAGCATTTGTATCTTCTAAATTCGGACTTGTATTGCCCATTTGGTGCAAAATTAATTTGAAATCAGATAAAGATATATATGGGAGCTATATCCAAATCTGGGCCGATCTCGATAAAAATTGGCAAAGATATTTCTGAGCTGTATTTGATATATTTCCCTGGATATCGGAGTGCATATTACGGCTGTGGGTAACAAATATAACAAATCCGATGAACAATATATGTGGGAGCTATAGCTATATCTGAACATATCTTCATCAAATTTAACATACTAGCTTCTAGACTCAATTCGGTTGTAAGTGCCAAATTCCATCCCATTTGGGCAAATATTAGACGTTTGGTGCGCAATAAAAGGTAAATCGGACGAAGTTATATATGGTAGCTATAACCAAATCTGAACCGATCTCGATAAAATTTATCAAAGGTATTTCTGAGCTGCAATTGATATATTTCCCCAAATATTGTTGTTACAGAGTGCATATTACGGTTGCGGAGGATAAAAATAACAAATCGGATGAACATTATATATGGGAACTATAGCTATATCTGAACCGATTTCGATCAAATTTGGCATACTTATTTTCAGGTTGTATGTGCAAAATTTCAGCCCATTTGGGCAAATATTAGACGTTTGGTGCACAATAAAAGGCAAATCGGACGAAGATATATATGGGAGCTATATCTAATTTTCTACCAATTATCTCCAATTTCAATAGGGTTCGTCCTTGGGCCAAACAAATGTTGTTTGGAAAATTCCATCTCAATCGGATCGTAAATGCGACCTGCATTTTGTTCACACGAATACATGGACAGACGGACGGACGGACTGACGTGCATAAATCAACTCAAAAAGTGATTCTATGAAGATCCTCAAAAGTAACTATGGGTCTATCTCGCTTCCTTCTTCATGTTACAAAGATATGCACAAAGACATAATACCCTTACCACTATGTGGTGTAGGGTATAAATACCAAGTATTTTCGAAACTGATTTTTAAAACCCACTGTCAGTATCACAAGACGTATTTATTGTTATTTCCCGTCAATACATTTTTTAATTATTCTACATTAATATGGAAAACAAAAACAATGACACAACGATAACATATGTTTTGACGACCAACAAATTAGCAGCGGTATTAGCTTTTCGCTCTTTGGCATACTGGCCGGTTTTCTGAGACAAGACCATAACTTGTGAGGTTACAGTGTTAGGTTTTTCTGTTACAATGGGTCGTGGAGGGGCAACAGCTGCTGTCGGTGGCATTGGAGCTGGCCAGGCAGGTGCCAACGGTGGCGTGGCATTAACAGCGTATGATTGATTCTGGTAGTGAGTATTAAATGCTGAGTGGTTCTGCATCGTCGGTACAGGTTGTAGGGCGACATATGATTTTCCAATATCCGCTGGTGCAGTGGGCGGAAAACCAGAATTTGTCTGTGGCCTAGCGTAGTGTTGAGTCATTGCTGTCATATTAACCCCGGGTGGACATATCAACTGTTCGGTGTAAATGAAACGACTCAAGTCGCTATGATCGGGTTCCTTAATGGTTTCATTGTAACAGCCATTGGCCAAGGGTTCACTTCTTTCAATAACCGTTGCGGGAACAATAATTTGTTGGTGGGTTCTGTTGCTGTAGGCTTAATAAAGCAAAGCAAATAAATTTTTAGACATCCAAAGAAAATAATATTGTTGAATGATTTTACCTATTTGCGGCTCACAATGGATTAATTGAAGTGTGGTAAATGTTAGGATTGCCGTTAGAAAATATGTTACATACTTTTGGTTTATTTTTGCGATCATTTTTTTAATTATCGGAAAATTATAAAATTCGAATTTTTCACATTCGTTGATAAGAGGTCTGTATTGAACTAATTCGTTATACTATTTTAGATCGGAAAAATATTTCAATTGTCACCTTTGCAATGTTTACATATTGGTTACATATTTGATGTTCGAGTTAAACATTTGTTACAACAGTGCAATTTATTTAATACAGTGGGATGCCTCTATGATGGAATTTTAGAAGGTGAATAGATGAGTATTTTGATGATTGAACGATTTGTAACGATCTGTATAACTTGTTTCTAGGTAGCAGCTAGCTATTCATACCCTACACCATATAGTGGTAAGGGTAATATGTCTTTATGCATTTGTTTGTAACATGGAGAAGAGAGCGAGATAGACCCATAGTTACTTTTGGGGATTTTCATAGAATCACTTTCTGAGCCGATTTATGCATGCCAGTCCGTCTGGCCATGCATTTTTGTGAACAAAACGCAGGTCGCATTAATTATGCGATTGAGATGAAATTTTCTAAATAATATTTGCTTGGCCAAGACGAACCTTATTGAAATTGGTGATCATCGGATCAGATTTAGATATAACTCCCATATAGCTCTACCGATTTCGGGTTAATTGTGCACCAAATTGCCAATATCAGTCCAAATGACCTGCATTTTGGCACATTCGACCAAATTTAGTCTTGAAGCAAGTACATCATTTTTGAAAATCGATACAGATATAGCTAGAGCTTCCTAAATATATGTTTCATGCGATTTGGGTTTTTAAGTCCCTTACATGTGTAATATAAACTCCACAACTAGTATCTATGGTCCCAGATATCAGATAAAGTCTAGAAATAGCTCTATCAAATTTTATCAAGATCGGTTCAGATTTGGATATAGCTCCCATTTATAACTTTATCCCATATCAGGTTTACTGTGCACCAAATGGTCAATATCAGTCCAAATGACCTGAATTTTGGCACATCCAACCGAATTCAGTCTAGAAGCAAGTACATCAAATTTAGTGGAAATCGGTACAGATATGGCTATAGCTCCCATACATATGATTAATCAGATTTGGTGTTTTAAGTCCCTTACATGTGTAATATAAACTCCACAACAATGATCTATGGTACCAGATATCAGATACAGCTCAGAAATACCTCTGTCAAATTTTATCAAGATCGGATCAGATTTGGATATAGCTTCCATATATATCAATAACAGATTTATTGTGCACCAAATTACCAATATCAGTCGAACTGACCTGAATTTTGGCACCTACGACCGATTTCAGCATAGAAACAAGTACTTCAGATTTGGAGGAAATCGACCCCCATGTACAGGGTGAGATGAAAAAACTGCAACCAACTTCAGACTGCTATCATTTCTAAGTCACTTGTCCGACAGCTGTTAAAATTATTCCAGTGACAGATCATTATATTGTTTACAAGCGTACAAAAGCATTTTGGTGAGAATTTTCCAGAAAAAAAGTTATTCGTGATGGAATTCAAGCGTGATGGTGTGATTTGTTTATATTTGGCTGGAAAAACCACAACTGGCTATCGTTGGAGCACTCCAGCGTTTAAATGTGAATAAATCGTTTGTGTCTCGCTCCTTGCGTAGCCCGACGGCAAGGAAGTGGACGGGAGAAAACAGCAACATCAGCAGAAATGGTTCGAAAAGTAAAGGATCGACTTGATAGAAACCCACGTCGCAGTGGCCGAAAAAATGGCCCGTGAGCTGAACATATTGCGATATTCCATTCGGCAAATATTGAAAAATTAGCTCGGATTAAAGCCATTGAAATTCCAAAAAGTGCAAGAACTTACACCGCAACAGAAAGAAAATAGACTCAACATAGCTAAAGTGTTGCTTCGCTTGACCGAAAATGGTGAACTGCAGAATTGGGTTTCCTCCGATGAGAAAATATTCGTTGTCCAGCAGACAAACAAACAAAATGATCGTGTTTACGTGCCAAAGAGGTCAGCTGAAAATGTGCACTTTCGGTTAGCCACCAGAGCTCACACGCCGGCCTGGTGTTGCCGCCATAACATTTGATGGTCGCTCTCCGCTCGTATATTGTCGACCGTGGCATCAGAATAAATGCCTTATATTATCGCGAAAATATTCTGGGGGTGTATTAAAGCCTTGGGCACGCAAAGATTTTGGCCGCAAATCCAACAGGACTCAGCACCATTGCACCAAATATAAAGAAAAATGAGGTTCTTCGCTTTATTTTCAGCGCACAATGGCCACCAAAACCTCCGGATACCAATCCGTTGGACTATTGTGTCTGGAGTATTTTGGAAAGTAAGGTTGGCACTAAAAAATACCAAAATGTCGATCACCTCAAGCAAGCGCTTCGCTGGGAATGGGCCAAAATACCGCAGAGCAACATTCGGGCAGCGTGTGACGGTTTCATTGCCCGTTTGAAGGCCATAATTCGTGTCAAAGGTGACCAATTCGAACAAATCTAAACATATTCTTAAATTTGATGCTATTTCCGACATTTTTTGCTTTCACTCACTAAAATTTAAGAAAAAAAATGTAAAAATTATGGCGTTTGACTTTGTTGCAGTATTTTTTTTTTATCTCACTCTGTATATGTTTCATCCGATTTGGGGTTTTAAGTCCCTCACATGCATAATATGCACTCCACAAGAATGATATCTGGTACCAGATAACCTATGGGGCTCCAAAATACCTCTGCAAATTTTATTGATTACGAAATTCAGCCTAAAAACAAGTGCATCAAATGCTGGTGAAAATCGGCTCAGATATAGCTATAGCTCTCATATATATGTTTAATCGGATTTGGTGTTAAAGTCCCTCGCATGCGTAATATGCACTTCACAACAATCATATTTGATACCGGACATCAGATACTGTTCGACAATATCTCTGCCAACTTTTATTAGATCGGTTCAGATTTTTTTTATAGCTTCGATATATATCTTTACACGACTTTACGGTTATTGCTCACCACATATGTAATATCAGCCTAAATTGAATTGATTTTTTCATATTCCACCGAATTCTACCATTTGGTGAAACTCGTTCCGGTAAATTAAAAAGTAAACAATTTCAAAAAAATAGGGGCTCAATTAGACCTGAAGGGTACTTTTTCTAAGGAACTTACTTTATACTATTTTTTTTACTACATTTGCATAAATTCAAGTTTAAATGAATCACCTACACCTTTTAATAGCTTTCGTTATGCATTCATTTACAAATGTGAAACTATTGTTTGAACAGCTACGTCACACCAACTCTGTATTTACCAAGAGAGACAAGTGTTTTCACAAAATAAAATTAAAATAATTTCAATTAGTCAATATTCAATTCAAACTAACTGTGAAGAGAACGCAGTAAGAATAAAGTCATCGGTCTAAAAATGTTCTCATTTCAGAGTGTGGCGTTTTTTGTTATAGATTGGAAACTAATTTCAATGTTTTTGTGGCGGAAGCGGCAGAGAGGACAGTGTTATCGTTTTGGCAAATGCGTAGTAGAATACAAGATCTTTATTGGGAAATAAGTTTTACTGGGTATATGCTGCCGGGTCATATATGACAATTTTAAAGGTAGTGGAATTATAGAAATGTGTGAAGCTTCGAATGAATCGGATGTTTATTTCGCATTTTTTTAAGAGTTTAGGTTATTCCAAATTTTTACCCTTTGTATAGGAGATGTCAAAGGGAGTGGTCCTATATGTTACATCTTTAGACAAAATATTGTTTTAGTAAAAATATTCGGATGTGTTGGATTTTAAGATAATTGGATGCCTTATTTGCATTTTATTCAAAATTTCGACCCTTTGTGCGGGAGGTACCAAAAGGAGTGAGCTTTTATCTACAATTTTCACAACATATCCTGTGTCGATAGAGATATTAAGATGTACTTAGTTTGAAAAGAATCTGATGCTAATTCTGCTATTTATGAGCTTCATAGATGTTTTGATCCGTTGTGGAGAAGGTACCAAAAAGGAGTAGATCGATATATCCCATCTTATACCAGATCTTACGTTAATAAAATTATTGGGATATATCATTTGAAGGCAATCGGACTCTCATTTCACATTTTATAAGTGTTAGAGATATTCCAAATATTTACCCTTTGTGGGGAAGGCACTTGAAAGGGTGGGCGGATATTGTCCATTTACGCACCTGAAAAAACTACAAAGTTTGCACAAAATCGAATGATTAGTTCTTCCCTATGAGAAAAATCATTTTCTTTGAAATTTTTGACCTTTTGTGGGGGAAGGCGCCAGAAGGAGTGGACCGATGTCGGCCATCACCGAACTCAATCTAAGTTTGACATTAATATTACGATATACCAAATTTGGACAAAATCGGATATTCCCTTCGAGAGTTGTCGTGCGCATCAGTCAGCCAGATGAACGGGCGGACACTCTAAATGCCATTAAACGGATTTGGTTCAAAGAGACATAGGTATCAGATGATATATGCAGAGGGTATAAAAAATATAATTCGATAAGTCTTAATAGCCTCCACCATGACGCAAATAAAACCTTTAAAAGTGTTGGCATGTTTGTTCTGGATACCATAGTATTTTGTTGTTGCAAAAAAGTCAGGCTTAATCCTATTATTGTTCTTTTTATAAAAACAACTAGGGTAAGTGTGCCTAAGTTCGGCATGTCCCAGTAGTCGGCACTTTTTATTTTTAAGCCCAAATAAATGAAACTTTTATAACTAAATATATTTTGTTTACTTCAAATATATTGTCAGCTATCTTTGTGTACAATTTCGCTAAGAAAAGATGATTTATTCTAATAAAAATTAAATTTCTGTATGTGAAAGTCCTCAACAATCCATATTCTTAAGAGAAGTACAGTAAAGACGTCGAATCAGTTTAACTAAACAAAAATATTATATTTTTATGAATTAATTTATTATTATCATTAATTATTCTTACAAAAAAATTGGTATGCCGACTGTTGCAACATGCCATACAGACAATTGGCAAGTGGTGCCGACTACTGGCAAAAAAGCATTGTTTTAATAAAACTACAAATTTATGAAATTTAATAAAAGGTTATTAAAACTTTATTTATTATTGCAAAAACTATACAAAATTTCAAATCTGAATAAATTAACTTTGTAATGATTGAAAAGTTCCACTCAGAATGGTGAGCGATTACAAACGCGAAAATCCTAAAAGTGCCGACTACTGGTACACTTACCCTATTGTCTTTGTGGATGAGGCTCCAGAAGGTGTTCCCAGATATATATCATCTTCACAACAGATCTTGTGTTAGCAAAAATGTTCGGTATTTGGTAATTTCAAGTCAGTTGGATGCTTATTTCGCTTTCTTGAACCTTATGCGGGGAAGGTACCAGAAGGAGTGCGCCGACATATCTCATCTTCACAGCAGATCTTGTGTTAGTAAAAATAATGGCATGTGCGAAATTTTAAGATAACCGAATGCTTATTTCGCATTTTATGATAGTTTTGGCTGTTCAAAATGTTGACCCTTTGTGGGGGAGGTACCAGAAGGAACGGTTCGATCTCTATCATCTTCATAACAGATCTTGTGTTATCGAAAATGTTAAGATGTGTGAAGTATAAAGAGCACCGGATACTTATTTCGGATTCTATGATCATTTTGGATGTTCAAATCTCTGACCCTTTGTGTGAGAGGTACCAGAAGGAATGGTCCGGTCTCTACCATCTTGGTTTTGTGTTGATGGAAATATTGAGATGTATGGAATCGGATGTTATTTTCGAGTTTTATGAGCTTCATGAATATTCAAACTTTTGACCCTTTGTGAGGGCGCTACCAGAAGAAGTGGTGAATTTAAAGACAATCGAACACCTACATTACATTTTATAAGAGTTATAATTATTCAACATGTTGATCCTTGATGTAGTTGACCGATATTGTCCATTTCGCACCTGACCTAGCACGGATGCAAATATTAGGATTTACAAAGTTGGAGCAAAATCGGATTATTCCTTCTCTTTCTGTGCAGGAAGGAGTGGACCGATATTGTCCATCTTCGAACTCGGTCTAAGTTTGAGAATAACATTACGATGCACCAAGTTTGGATCAAATCGGATATTCCCTTCGAGAGTTATCGTGCGCACTAGCCAAACAGATGGACGGAGGGACATCGCTAGATCGACACCAAATGTCCTGAAACGTATTTGGTCCGAGGAGAACTAGGGTCTAAAACGTTTTGGTCGTATCAAATGATATATACCCTATGTAGCCATATGGCTGAGGGTATAAACAAATCTGATAAAAGATGTGGCTAAAATCAGCAAAATGCCAGTAATAGGTGGTAGAACCCATTACGAACCCAAAATATCGAATTGTAAACAATTTCGTTTGAAAATTAAGCTTAAATCGTCCAAATACCGAATATATGGTGGTACAATGGGGGCTATACGAAAACGTGGACCTATTACGAACTATCGTTCTCCACTAATAAACAAACGTTGTTTTTATAAAAACAACAATAAAGGGATAAGCCTGACCATTTTGCAACAACAAAATACTACGGTATCCCGAACAAACAAGCCACACTGTTCTATTTATAGACAAGGCACGGTCGACGAAGGGGTTTTTGTTGTAACAGACAAAACCAACTTACATGGTTATGCTACTTCGTTCAGGTTGAACGAAAGCATAACAAGTGGAGAAAGATGAAAATGTTTATAAGTGCGGTTGTAAGATTTAGAAGACTTTCCAAAAGAATTTTAGTTTTATATAATTCTTTGGTTCCTCTTCTATTGAGCTTACGATCTCGTCACTTGGGTAAAAAATGTTTTTTGTCATAGAAGTTATTTTTAAAATAACTTCTGGGGAGAATATCCCAGACAAAAACAAGGGAACTGATGAGGATTGGTGGCTCTTTCCGAAACCTAGGTATTCCCTGCCTTACCCCCTGGTAAACATTACCATCGTTCTCCACTAATAAACAAACGTTGTTTTTATAAAAACAACAATAAAGGGATAAGCCTGACCATTTTGCAACAACAAAATTAAACTGCTATAGACAAAATACACATGTGTGTGAAAAATTTTAGCCTTCTTTTTCAATTCGTGCAAAAGATAACGTGATTACTATAGACAGATACATAGATAGATGGGCATTGCTATGACATCAAGGAGTAACAAACGAAATGACAAAGTTAACATACCCTCCATAGTATGGTGGAGGGTAAAAATGCATGTATAAGTGAAAAGTACAGGGTAAGATGAAAAAACTGCAACCAACTTTAGACTGGTGTAATTTCTATGCCACTCGTCCGACAGCTGTTAAAATTATTACAGTGACAGGTCATTATATTGTTTACAAGCTACAAAAGCATTTTGGCGTTTTAACGACAAGGCTCGGCCTAACCCATTGAAATTCTAAAAAGTGCAAGAAATTACATCGCAACAGAAAGAAAATAATCTCAAAAGAGCTAAAGAGTTGCTTTGCTTGGCCGAAAGTGGTGAACTTCCGAACTTGGTTTTCTCCGATGAGAAAACATTCGTTGTCGAGCAGTTTGTAAACAAACAAAATGTTTACTTGCCAAAGAGGTCAGCTGAAAATGTGCAGCTTCGGTTGGCCACCAGAACTCAAGCGCCGGTCATGGTGATGGTGTGGGCCGCCATAGTTGACATCAGAATAAAGGACAAATATTATCGCAAAAAGGTTCTGGAGGGTGTATTAAAACCTTGGGCACGCAAACATTTTGGCCACAGACCTTGGACATTTAAACAGGACTCATCACCATGGCACTCAGCACGCGCCACCGAAGAATGGTTACAAAATGCGGATCCTCGCTTCATTTTCAGCCACCACCACCAAAATCTTCGAATACCAATCCGTTGGACTATAGTGTCTGGAGTATTTTGGAAAGCAAGGTTGGCAATAAAAAAATACCAAAATGTCGATCACCTCAAGCAAGCGCTTCTCTGAAATGAGCCAAAATACCGCAGAGCAACATTCGGGCAGCGTGAGACGGTTTCATTTGCCGTTTGAAGGCCATAGTTCGTGTCAAAGGTGACCAATTCGCCCAAATCTAAACTTATTCTAAAATTTGATGCTATTTCCGACATTTCTCGATTTCATTCAATAACATCGAACAAAATGTTTAAAAATTATTTCGTTTGAATTTGTTGCAGTTTTTTTATCTTTTTATTTTTTATGTCACCCTGTATTTTGGGAATTTAAGAGAAGAAGGCCATACCAAATATGAAGCTTATTTGAATGTGGGAACTGAGGGAACTAATGGGAGCTATATCCAATTCGAAATCGATTTTTACGAAATTTGACCGGCACATTTTTACCTCGCCTACCCAATAACATTGCCATAGAATTCATGATATCACTTCGAGAAAGATTATATTAAAACGACTTAAACACCAAATCAGATGAAACATATATAGGGGAGCTATAGCTATATCTGAAACAATATTCAGCAATTTTGATATACTTGCTTCTCGACTGAATTCGGTCGGATTTGCAATCATGTCATTTGGACAGATATTGCAAATTTGGTGCACAATTTATCCGAAATCTGTTGAAAATATATATGGGAGCTATATCCAAATCTGAGACGATCTTGATAAAATTTGGCAGTGGTATTTATGGACTGTATCCTTGGGCCAAAAAAAAATATTATTTGGAAAATTGCATCCCAATCGGATAATAAATGCGACCTGCATTTTGTTCACAAGAATACATGGACAGAGGGACGGACGGACTCAGAAAGTGATTCTAAGATGATCCTCAAAAGTAACTATGGCTCTATCTCGCTTCCTTCTCCATGTTACAAACAAATGCACAAAGACAAAAACCCTTACCACTATATTGGGTAGGGTATAAAAATTGGTGTTATCCAACCGAGAATTTCTATTAGTCTACCTACACAACCATGGGCATGAATTCAAGGCATCAAATGTATCATAAAGTACCAAACTTCCCTCCAACAATATATTTATTTAAAGATACCAATGATAATGTTCTACATAAATTGAATCAAAAATACTAAGGGTATTACTGCAAACAACCCCGTTTTTGTCAAGCTGTTACCACCATTACCATAAGAACCGATTTTCTTGGAGAGAACTGTGATATGGGGTTGGGTGCTAACAATGGCTGGAGATGATGCCACTGCATTTGTTTGATATACAGTTGTAACTGGTGTTTGTGCTGGCATTACTCCAACAACAGGAACACTTGCAGGCTGTGTCATGACATTAACCACTGGCGGAGCAACATTTGGTGGACATATAATTTGTTCGGTCTCAATGAACGTGCCAGGGCTAGAGATATTTGGTTCCTTGATCACTTGTTTGTAGCAGCCATTCGAATATGTTTCACGTGTTTCGATGGTGGTTTGGGGCACGCTTTGATATTTCTTATGATGGCTAGTGTGATCACTGATGCTTTTGCCAATCATGGAGCCAACGGCTCCACCAAGCACCCCGCCGACTGGAAGGAGAAATATCTGATAATTGTTCAAAATCAATAAAAAGTGTTACTCACGAAAACCTGATTTGGGTTCAGGCCTACATTCAATGCCAGGCGAATGCGTCGTTAGCATCAGCAATGCCAGCGTTATTGTGGTACGAAGTGCTCCATTGGCTGTTGCCATTTTTCAAATGATTTCATATTTTGGAAAAACAATTTAAGCTGGGAAATTTTTGTTGTCTTTGGAACGTGCCTGTGAATGTAATTGGGGTATCGCTTTTTTTTAATTTAGCGTTTAATTATGCATACATTCATAATAAAAATGTTTTATTGACTTAAGCTATTACTCATTTCCGAAAAAATGTATTTGTTCTGTTATTCAACGTTAAGAACAATAGGTTTATTATTAAGTTCATCATTTTGCTTGTAACATTTCCAATTTAAGCAGGTTCAACATTCCCACGAAAGAAAATATTTGGTTAAAGCATTTAATTTTTTGAAGAGAGGGATACTTAATGTTTTTTTAATTACCAAATCTTCCTGTCTAAAAAACTTAACAAACATTTCCATAATCTCAATTTGAAGAAATATAACGAAATTGCAAGATATGACTCGTTCGGCACTAATAAAGACTTACAATTTTGAAAAACTACGAATCTGGAATTCCCTTCCAGATGGGCGGACGCATTTTATGACATGACTGCATTGGCATTTGAGACTCTTAAGCAGTTCTAGAAAAGCTGTGGAGAATTATATTCATAAACTTGAAGCATAAACATTAAATTTAATAGGTGGCGCCCAACGTGTCATTTATAATTGAAGAGTTTCCAACATTTAAGCGAGTTATTTCTTAAAATTTTGCCAAAACTGTCCCATGTCTGTGTATTACAAATCGGCTGTTGTTATCGGGAGCCCATCGTGAGGTTCAAAAATCAAATATGATTTTCTGAACGTTTGATTTTGACGAATTCCACATTGGGCGCCATATGGTATTTAATTTTGAAATTTTTTTAAATAAATTTGAATATGCTCTTTTTTCATAAATTAGTCAAATTATAGACTTTTTTAGATTTTATGGGTTCCCATTGTCTAAAGTGTGATGTTTCTTTTTCTATACTTTACGCTACATTGTGGTACTAATAGTACTAATATTGCGAACATGTATTTTATTTCTGGGTGACGTCTTAACACTAGTTCTAATGTTAGTAGAAATATTGCAGTGTGCGAATTTTGATTGATTATAATTTATTATAACCAAGTAAAAAAGTAGCTAAGTTCGGCAGGGCCGAACTTTTAATACCCTCCACCGTTTGGAAGGAACTAGAAAATTTTCAAAAAACTTCTGGAAACTACCACTTACATGAAAACTGTTATATGGAGACTACACGAAGACGTGCACCTGCTTACGAAATTATTTGTCATAGGCTGTAGTGCCCATTACGAACTTCAAATACCAAATTTGAACAAATTCCGGCGAATAATGTCGCTAAAATCATCAAAGTACCGAATATCGGGAGTACCGAATATATGAAGGCGTGGACCTACATGGAGCATTTTCAATACCAAAAGTCATGCAGGCATAATATACATTTGAGTAAAATTTCATCAACCTAATTTCACTTCGTTCGGAAGCTAGAATGATTTTCACAGAAGGAATTTCTTATTTTTATACCCTACAACACAAGGTGGTCAGGGTATTATGTCTTTGTGCATTTGTTTGTAACAGGCAAAAGGAAACGAGATAGACCCATAGTTCCTTTTGATGATCGGCATAGAATCACATTCTGAGTCGATTTATGCATGTCCGTCCGTCCGTATGTCCATGTATTTTTGCAAATAAAGTACAGTTCGCATTTATTGCTCTATCCAGATGAAATTTTGCACAAATCATTTGTTTGGGCCAAGGACGAACTCTATTGAAATTGGAGATAATCGGTCAAAATTTAGATATAGCTCCCATATATATCTTCGCCCGACTTGCCTTTTATTGTGCACCAAACGTGTAATATCAGTCCGAATAGTATGGAATATGATCAGATTGGCCCTGAAATTACGTATGCTAAATTTGATCGAAATCGGTTCAGATATAGCTATAGCTCGCATATATATTGTTCATCCGATTTGTTATTTTTGTCCTCGGCAGCCGTAATATGCACTTTGTAACAACAATATTTGGGTTATGCGAAGCTCTACTAAATTAGTAAAGTGGTGTAGGGTATCATAAAGTCGGCCCGCCCGAATTTATGACTTTATTTACTTGTTTAATCATTAATAAGGTTTATTCTATGAATGTAAATCGTATGTTTTTGGGTATATAATAGTCGACCATAATCCATTTTTAACTTTTTTTACGTTTAACTTAATTTTCAGTGGATTTTACGAAACGAATGAAAACAATACACATTTTTAACTATTTAATATTTCAGATATAATTTTTAAGTAATAAAATTTTGTTATTTCTTTCGACGGTTATATAAAACATTTGGCATTTGTTTACACTTGTACGGCATAGTGTGACAACTACATTTATACACACACACACGAACATTGGAAATATTCCAACAACAAAAACAAAAGGGAACAAGTGTTTCTAATGTAAACACTTGGAGTATTTCGGTTTAGAGTAAATATTCAAATTTCATTAATCATGGGACCTGAAATGAGAAAAAATGTTCTTCAGATAATTTAGTGCGAATTTTGAAATCGAAGTGATTTGTGGGTTAAGTGAAGTATTACTGTTTTTTCCATTAAGTTAAATATGTTTTTATTTAATTCCAAAATTTTAAGTGGAGTTTTAGCTGTTCTAACTCTAATAAATATATCAGCGGTGCAATGTTCACCCAAACCGAAATGGAAGTCGGGAAAAAAGGCGTTGGGTAAGTTTAATTATATTACTTAGTTAAATTGAATTAGCAAATGTGGAAACTTGTTGCTGTACCCATTTTACAAAAAAAAGTAAAAAAGCTGCAAGTTTGGCCGAGCCGAACTTTGAATACCCTCCACCATTTGTTACAAATTTAACAATTTTCAAAAAAATAAAATCCGTTAAAAATTCTGTTAAAATCTTAAAAATACCGAATGTAGCCGTATATTAGGGTCTATTCGACGACGTGAACGTACGTAGGCAACTATTGTCATAAGCTACCACAAAATTCAAATGCGAATCTTGAAAAATCTGTTTATAATGTAGCCAAAATCACCAAAATACCGAATAGAGGAAGGTACCATGGTGGTTATAAAATGTGGACCTGCACAAACAATTTTCTGGCATAGACTGTAGTATTCATTACGAACTTCAAATACCAAATTTGAAATAGTTCCGGTAAATAATGTCGCTAAAATCTTCAAAATACCGAATATCGGGGGTACCGTTATATGGGGGCTATGCGAAGACGTAGACCTGCATGAACAATTTTCTGTTATAGACTGTAGTATTCATTACGAACTTCAAATACCAAATTTGGAATAGTTCCGGTAAATAGTGTCGCTAAAATCATCAAAATACCGAATATCGGGAGGTACCGTTATATGGGGGCTATACGAAGACGTGGATCTATATGGCCTATTTTCTGTCTTAGGCTGTAGTATCCATTGTGTACTTTAAATACCAAATTTGAAACAATTTCGGAAAATAGTGTCGCTAAAATCATCAAAATACCGAATATCGGGAGGCACCGTTATATGGGGGCTATACGAAGACGTAGGCCTACATGAACTATTTTCTGTCTTATGCTGTAGTATCTATTATGAACTTCAAATACCAAATTTGAAACAATTCCGGTAAATAGTGTCACTAAAATCATCAAAATACCGAATATCGGGAGGTACCGTTATATGGGGGTTATACCAAAACGTGGACCTACATGACCTATTTTCAATATCAAAAGTACTGCAGACATAACATACATTTGAGTAAAGCTTTATCAATCTACTTGAATTTGTTCGGAAGCTAGAGTGATTTTAATGAATTTTAAGCTGATATTTCGAGGTGTTACAAGGGGAATGACAAACTTAATATACCCTCCATACTATGGTGGAGGGTATAAAAATACTTATAACATGTTTCATAATGCTAAACATTTCTCCTTTGTATTTGCAGGATCTTTTGCCGGTGGCTTAGCTGGCGGCATGGCGGGTGTGGCGCTGGGCAGCTATCTTGCCAATCGCAACAAACCAGCCGAACCGCAAAATGTTTATGTGGCAAATCCCCCAACAATTATTGATAGACGTGAAACACTACCGAATGGTTGTTACAAACAAGTCGTAAAGGAACCCAGCAGCCATGATCCACGGATATTTGTTGAGACCGAACAGCTGATATGTCCACCCGGTGTGCAGCAGCCAATTGTCGTACAACAACCAACGAATCAAGTAATGCAACCCGTGCAACCATTGGTCCCAACACCGGTACAATCGATACCCATACCAACACTATATCAACCCGCTATTGTGCAACAACCAGTATTACCACCTGTACAACCCGTGAATGCCCCCGCACCACCACCGGTTGTAGTTACACTTGTCAGCGTCAATGACACAAATCCACCTCCTAGCGTTAATCAGCAACCGGCAACGAATATTTATCCTTCTCTGAATATTGATGCCAATTCAAATGTAACCCATTTCATGCCAGTTACAAACATTGGTTATGTAACACCTCCACCGAACAACAATCCAGAGATCGCCACCTCCACCCCTAGTGTTATTTTACAAAATGTCCTACCCCCTTCGAATTTGATTCCCGTCACTCCGGTGTATTATCATCCGGTGGCAGATGTTAATCAAAACGTTGCAAATAATCAGCCGCCATCGAACAGTGCCTCTTTGGCTCCAGTAAATCCTGTCGTTCCTCAAACCAATGTTGCTGCACCATCACCCATCGCCGTTTCAAATCCACCCCAACAACCCGTAGGCGTTCAGCAACCTGCAACCGGAGGTTCACCCCAGGTTTATGTGCTTTCCAAAAAAACCGGAATCTATGGCAAAGAGAAAAAGAACAGTGCCAACAATGCAGCAGTTTCGGGATATTTGTTGGTGGCATTGTTAGGGGTGTACTTGGGTTTAAATTCATTTTTTTAGAAAAGTATTTGAAATGTATTTGAAATATAAAATAAATATTTTATGAAATTTAAATAACAAACATTAACTCAAGAGTGGGATAATTAAAAAATATTTTTTTTTGATTTAGCCATTCCTATTTTTTCTACGAATCTTACTTTATGTTTCTATCAAACTTCCATATTGAAGTTGGATACGACAAAATTCGCTATCCTCGATTTCGTCCCCACCAATGTTGAATTGTTAATTGTTGTTATTTTTGTTAAAAATGAATTTTCAAATAAATAAACATAATTTGCTGTCCTCGTTAATTTTTTTCTGCCTGATCACGGGACCCTCATTGTTTATACCCTCAGCCATATGGCTAGTTATAACCTCAGCGATATAGCTAGAGAGGGTATATATAATTTGATACGGCCAAGCGTGCCTCATCGAAAAATCAGTTTTAGACCCTGTGTCTCTTGGGACCAAATCCGTTTCAGGGCAGGAGTAGATCTAGCGATGTCCGTTCGTCCGTCTGTCTGTATGGCTGGCTTGTTCTTACGATAACTCTCAAAGGGAGTAACTGATTTTTTCCAAACTTGGTACATCGTAACATTATTATCGAACTTAGATCGAGTTCGGAGATGGTACCTCCCCCCCATCAAAACACCATCTCCATCTGGTACCTCCCCCCCCAAAAGGACGAAATTTTCAAAAAATATTTTACTTCACAGAAAGAGAAACGATAATCCGATTTGCTCCAACTTTGCAAATCCTTATATTCACATCAGTGCCAGGTCAGGTGCAAAAATGGACAATATCGGTCCACTCCATCAAGTACCTCTCCCACAATGGGTCCAAATTTTGAATAATTATAACTCTTATAAAATGTGATGTAAGAGTGCGATTATCTTCAATTTACACACATCACAATATTTTTATTAACCCAAGGTCTGCGGGAGGATGGGATATATCGGCCAAAATTTTGAATATCCATGAAGCTTATAAAACGCGAAATTGACATCTGATTCCATTCATATTTGGTACATTTCAATATTATCATCAACACAAGATTTGTTATAAAGATGGCAGAGATCGGACCATTCCTTCTGGTACCTCCCACACAAAGGGTCAAAGTTTAGAATAACAAAAACGATTTTCAAATCGGAAATAAGCATCCGGTTCTCGTCATATTTCACACATTCCATTATTTTTACTAACACAAGATCTGCTGTGAAGATGAGATCTAACGGTCCACTCTTGCTGGTACCTCCCCCATGAAAGGTTCAAAGCTTTGAATAACCAAAAACGATTATAAAACAGGGATTAGGAATCCGGTTCTCTTCATACAGGGTTGCCCATATTCGACGGACCCATCTGGCAACAACATAACTTTTGACAGAGATGTCACATCGCTTAATGACATACTGCGTTTGAAGCGTCAGTCCAAGCAGATTTTTACCACGAACCAATTTAATTTACATTCAACAGAAGAAGTCGATTGTGAAAACTCAACGTGTTTTTAAAATATTAAAAAATGTGAGAAGTGCGCCTTCTAAGAACACCATTAAGCGTTTATACGAAAAATTTTCGACTGGTAAGGCTCTTTCTAATCCGAAGAGGCCATATAAAAGTCGACCAAGGCGATCGGCCGAGAATATCGCTGCCGTACGAGCCAGTGTTGAGAGGTCCCCAAGAACATCCCAAAAACGCCGTTCTCAGCAGTTGGGCATGGCTCGGTCCACTTTACAACGGATTATTGGCATTGATTTGCATTTGTTCGCGTACAAAATTCAATTGACGCAAAGAATGTTGCTTGCGGACAAGCCTCGCCGATTGGAATGGGCCCAAAGGGCCTAAAGGGCCCAAAGTCCGTCGAATATGGGCAACCCTGTATTTCACAAATTTCATTATTTCTACTAACCCCTCCATCTGGTACCTCCCCCTCATATGTTATAAAAGAAGATCTGTGACGAGGATTTTAAAAAAGAAAGCGATAGACGTAAGGAAGTACTTGCTTATATGGCGCTAAAAGTTGAACGTAGGGAAATGATGTGGTATGGCTGTCCTTGGTCGGACAGAGGTCTCAGCCGATTTGAAGATAGGCTCGGAGCAGGTTCCCGTCTCGGATAAGATACTTATGGGTAGTATATCAGAAGGCGTTCGACGGTGAAAAGGCTAAGGTTGTGGGAAAGATAAATACTCTCCTCTGCTCCCTTTCGTAGGGCACATGGCTTCTATAGGGCCATTCTTATAGGTCGATACATGATAGGGCGTAAATAGAAGGATACACGTCTTTTTAACGAAAACTGGGTTGGCATTTTTAAAAAGATACCAGTTCAAATATAGCAGCATCGCTAGAATAGTTGGGTTTAATCCATTTAACTTATGTTAGTTATAATAATTTGAATTAAATAAAACGGGCACGTGCTAAAACTGAAAATGATGGAAATTACAGGGTGAAATAAAAAAACTACAACAAAGTCAAACGACATACTTTTGAAATTTTATTGAATTATTGAAAGAAAGAAATTTCGGAAATAGCATAAAATTTTAGGATATGTTTAGATTTGTTCGAATTGATTACCTTTGGCACGAATTCACAAACGGCCAATAAAACGGCCAAACACACTGCCCGAATGTTGCTCTGCGGTATTTTGGCCCATTCCCGCTGAAGCGTTGCTTGAGGTGATCGACACTTTTGTATTTTTTAGTGTAAACCTTGCTTTCCGAAATACTCCAGACACAATAGTCCAACAGATTGGTATCCGGAGATTTTGGTGGCCATTGTACGCTGGAAATGATGCGAGGAACCTCATTTTATAACCATTCTTGGGTGGCGCGTGATGAGTGCGTTGGTGCTGAGTCCTATTGGAATGTCCAAGGTCTGCGGCCAAAATGTTTGCGTGCCCAAGGCTGTAATACACCCTCCAGAATATTTTCGCGATAATATTCGGCATTTATTATGATGCCACGGTCGATAATTACGAGCGGAGAGCGACCATCGGCTGTTATGACGGCCCACACCATCACCATGGCCGGCACTGGTGGCCAACCGAAGGTGCACATTTTCAGCTGACCTCTTTGGCAAGTAAATACGATCATTTTGTTTGTTTACAAACGGCTGGACAACGAATGTTTTCTTATCGGAGACGGAGAAAACCAAATTCGGCAGTTCACCACTTTCGGCCAAGCGAAACAAACCCTTTAGCTCTTTTGAGTCTATTTTCTTTCCGTTGCGGTGTAAGTTCTTGCACTTTTTGAAATTTCAATGGCTTTACCTCGAGCTCATTTTTCAATATATGCCGAATGGAATATTGGAATATATTCAGCTCACGAGCCATTTTTCGGCCACTGCGACGCGGGTTTCGATCAAGTCGCTTCTTTACTTTTCGAACCATTTCTGCTGATGTTGCTGTTTTCTTCCGTTTACTTCCTCGACATCCGGCTACTCTACCAGTATCACGGTAACGAGCGATGGTACGAGACACGAAACATTTATTTACATTTAAATGCTGGAGTGGTCTAACGATATCCACTTGGGGTTTTCCAGCCAAATATAAAGAAATCACACTATCACGCTTGGATTCCATCACGAATAATTTTTTTCTGGAAAATTCTCACCAAAATGCTTTTGTACCAATATAATGAACTGCCACTGAAATAATTTTAAAAGCTGTCGGATGAGTGGGCTAGAAATGACAGCAGTCTGAAGTTGCTTGCAGTTTTTTCATCTAACCCTGTATCTAGAGCTGAGGTGGATATATCGGACAACTCCTTTTCCGCAAAAGCTCATAACTTTAAAGAAGAAAAGAAATAATAACTTTTAAAATTTTGATATTGGCTTCAGTTTTCATCACAATTCGCTTTTTTTCAATATTTCTGCCAATATAAGATCTGATGACCAAATAACATATACGCTCGAGTATCGTAACCAAACGTAGAGGTCATCGGCTAGTTTAACTTCATTCCATGACAGACCAGACTATGTCACGTCTATTTCCTTCACTAATTAGTTCGATAAAATACCTGTATTTTTACATCTTCCTTCTGGCATGGATACATTAATGAGGCACATGATTAGCTAAAATTCTGCTACCCAATGAAGTCTAGACGAAATAACATCCAATATTAAACCCAATTATATTATAAATAACTAATTTGTCCACTGTTGGCATTTGTACATAGATATAACATATCCAATTTGTCCTGCTTGCAAATTGTTACTTGACTTGGCTCGACTAAACCACCCCACAGTACATTGTTGGATGCCGCACACATGTATATACTTATATACATATATGTATATATTATTTCATAACAAGTTGTCTCTATTATTTCAAAAATGTCCTCTGTGTCTGTGTGAGTCAGTAATTGTGAAGTATTTCGAAATACAACAGTTGTCCATGTATTGGTGGTAAGTGTTCATTTATATTCCCAGGACGACGACGATGGCGACTGGTGCCTCAGAAACTGGGTTAGTAATTCAATATCAAATGCAGACTCACACACACACACACATACACTCACACTGACACACTCACATTCCACGGCCGACGGATTGTCCGACCTATTCAAAAATCCTTGCCACTGTTATTCGGTCAATATTCCATCCCTGCATTGCACTGATGGCTGTGGCGGCAGCGGCGGCTTAGTGTATCATCCGCCAGTGTAAACCACCAAAGTATTCGTGATGCTGTTCCGAGTAAAGCCACTCACTGGCTGGAAGGCCGCCGGCTGAAATATCTTCTGGCTGTCTGTCCGATTTGTGTTGAATACTGCAGTTCGGCTGCAATGGTTTGTGTGTTGGAAAAAAGTCAAATTCTTTCATTTTTATGTGCCGCCAATGCGCTTTGGGTTTGGTTTTCACTTCAGACGGGGAACATAAAATGCGTATTATTTTGTTCTGTTTGGAATACGTAATTCATTGCGTTGACATATCCAATACATGCTTATTCATGGACTTGCACACACATACATACATACATATGCACGTAGTCGTATGTGGGTCACTTCGTATGACAACGTCGCAAGGTTATTCACTGGAGCCATAATATGATTTTGAAAATTTCTCCACGCACTTACTTTCAAGTTTATAGACCAAGTGAGCCATAAATTCGGAAAAAAATAAATATATCTATAGGAAATAGAGAATATTCTAGTATCTTCAATATCTATAAAAATTGAAAGTGTGTGTACATTTGATTGTTTCTTTGTAATCTATAGACTAAACCAGTAAGGAAAAGTCAAAAATCGGGTGGGGCCACTACGCATATTTAGTAGAGCTCCCGTAACAAAAGAATATATTTCTAGTAGATCAT